ACTGATTAGAACTTGCGTTTCCCTGATTTTATATCTACATTTGAGTGAGGTGGGAAGGGTGATGTGGCATTACATTTGAGTGAGGTGGGAAGGATGATGTGGCATTAGAGAATATTAATAGGGTATTAAAAGTATCAACACAAGACAGAACACGAAACAATGGGTATTGAATGGAAGTGATTGTAGAAAGCCTATTGGTCCATATTTCTTGATGCTTCTATATTGGAGCGGAGTCTTGAGGTGGGTAGAATATAGTTGTGCATTAATTGGCTGTTGATTGCTGGTGTTGACTTTTTAATGTGAAGTGCCTCGCAAACGTCAAGCCGTCTGCTATCGCTGTATCTATCGATGATTTCTGTGTTGTTTACTAGGATTTCTCTGGCGATGGTTTGGTTGTGGGAAGAGATTATATGTTCCTTAATGGAGCCCTTAATGGAGACACATTAAAAAGTCAACACCAGCAATCAACAGCCAATTAATGCACAACTATATTCTACCCACCTCAAGACTCCGCTCTAATATAGAAGCATCAAGAAATATGGACCAATAGGCTTTCTACAATCACTTCCATTCAATACCCATTGTTTCGTGTTCTGTCTTGTGTTGATGAATTTAATACCCTATTAAATACCACCTCACCCCATCCACCTCACTCAAATGTAGATATAAACAAATCGGAGATGTGTAAGTTCTATTCAGTTGTGTATGTGTAAACTAAAGTCTTTGAAAATGTAATAAGTTTTACGAAACGCGCTCAAGTGTCGCTTCAGACTAGAAATAAAAATGAATTTTGGAGAATTGATTTTTGAATTACCACCAACAGTGAAAAGAAATGTACGAAAGATTGAAAAAATTCGTGTTAGAATTATTAATCTTACTTTTTCGGTCATATTTAATAATATATATATATATATATATATATATATATAGGTGGTACTGCCTTCAGCTAGCAGCTAGAGGTGGTACTCCCTTCTATATATTATATATATATATATATATATATATATATATATATATATATATATATATATATATATATATATATATATATATATATATTTGTTCCACAGAACGTCAGCTTGGACAATTGAGTCTCTCTGGTTGATCACTGCTTGGACAAGCTCGGTCTGAGGGGAAGTGGCTGTCAAGTAATTCAATGGTTTCCAAACCCTTTACAGTCGTTACCCTTTCTTCATATAGCGTCCTTATTAACGGGCGCTATATTAATGGACGCTATACTCGCCAATAATTTTGTATAGCAACATAACCCCATAACTCGTAATAACCCCATTACCCTTTGTAATTATAACCAGTACACTGCCTCAGTGTACTGGGAGGAGGAGGGGGGGGGAGGGCAAGAAGGCACCACATCCCCCCCAGTTTGGGATCCAGGGGCCAGACTGTAAGTACTTAGACAAGCAGAGCCTGAGGACAACTGCAGCTTGGACAAACAGAGCCTGAGGACAACTGCAGCTCGGACAAACAGAGCCTGAGGACAACTGCAGCTCGGACAAACAGAGCCTGAGGACAACTGCAGCTTGGACAAACAGAGCCTGAGGACAACTGCAGCTCGGACAAGCAGAGCCTGAGGACAGCTGCAGCTCGGACAAGCAGAGCCCGAGTACAACTATCAGCTCGGACAAGCAGAGCCTGAGTACAGGTCAATATATTATGATACACAACAACACGCCCCACAGTGACGGGCCGTGATAAAGGAACGTGTCTGCTGAGTGCTGCTGGCAAGTGGGGTCACCGCTAAATTAACCTAAGCTTATATTCAGTGTGATGCGATAAGCAGAGCTGCTGCTCCCTCACCCGAACACGTCCAGAGAGTAAGCAAACATCATCAGAAGTCACCCTTTATCACTTGGGGCAAATTGCCTTACAATATAAATTTTGAGTTGGTAAATAGGATATGTATGATGCCGGCCCGCGAGGAGCTGCAATATTTCCAATTTGGCTCAAGAGTCAAACTTGCGGTGGACGGTAGAGCGACGGTCTCGCTTCACACAGGTCGGCGTTCAATCCTCCGACCGTCCAAGTGGTTGGACATCATTCCTTTTCCCCTCGTCCTATCCCAAATCCTTATCCTGATCCCTTCCAAGTGCTATATAGTCGTAATGGCTGGGCGCTTTCCCCCTGATAGTTCCCTTCCCTTCAAGTCTTATGTATGACCCTCTGTCCTGAGTGACAGTGAATACCAGCATTATCCTCACTTTAATAAGACTATCAAAATCCTCAGATTAGGCAAAATTGTAATTAATTTTGTCAATAAAAATGTTAATAATAAATAATTCCCTTCAAGAGTCACAGTTTAATTTTTTTTTTTTTTATCTTGTACGGCCAAATGGCGTTCAAAAAACACGTTACAAAAACACATTGAAAGAAATAAAAACACATTTTTTTTAAATTAAAGAATAAAAAGAAAAACTACAAAAATCACAGGTTAATCATTTAAGTAACAAGTAGTAGCTTGAACTACCAGAAGATACCTGTGGTCGATCTGTTAGGGTGGTAGCCCACCGGTGGGTGAGGGGGGTGGGCAATTAGGTACCGTGATCCCATCGTGGTAGCCCACCGGTGGGTGAGGGGGGTGGGCAATTAGGTACCGTGATCCCATCGTGGTAGCCCACCGGTGGGTGAGGGGGGTGGGCAATTAGGTACCGTGATCCCATCGTGGTAGCCCACCGGTGGGTGAGGGGGGTGGGCAATTAGGTACCGTGATCCCATCGTGGTAGCCCACCGGTGGGTGAGGGGGGTGGGCAATTAGGTACCGTGATCCCATCGTGGTAGCCCACCGGTGGGTGAGGGGGGTGGGCAATTAGGTACCGTGATCCCATCGTGGTAGCCCACCGGTGGGTGAGGAGGGTGGGCAATTAGGTACCGTGATCCCATCGTGGTAGCCCACCGGTGGGTGAGGGGGGTGGGCAATTAGGTACCGTGATCCCATCGTGGTAGCCCACCGGTGGGTGAGGGGGGTGGGCAATTAGGTACCGTGATCCCATCGTGGTAGCCCACCGGTGGGTGAGGGGGGTGGGCAATTAGGTACCGTGATCCCATCGTGGTAGCCCACCGGTGGGTGAGGGGGGTGAGCAATTAGGTACCGTGATCCCATCGTGGTAGCCCACCGGTGGGTGAGGGGGGTGGGCAATTAGGTACCGTGATCCCATCGTGGTAGCCCACCGGTGGGTGAGGGGGGTGAGCAATTAGGTACCGTGATCCCATCGTGGTAGCCCACCGGTGGGTGAGGGGGGTGGGCAATTAGGTACCGTGATCCCATCGTGGTAGCCCACCGGTGGGTGAGGGGGGTGGGCAATTAGGTACCGTGATCCCATCGTGGTAGCCCACCGGTGGGTCCAGTTCACGTGGCAAGCCAAGCAGAACAATCTCAGTGTGTTAGTGTCTGTAAGTGTACATGTGCCCAGGTCTTGCCCGACTGCACGCGGACACACTCACAAGGGGTCAAGGTTTGTGGTAACTTGTGTCGTGGTAGTGTTGGTGGTGGCGGTAGTGTTGGTGGTGATGGTGGTAGTGTTGGTGGTGGTGGTATTGTTGTTGGTGGTGGTATTGTTGTTGGTGGTGGTATTGTTGTTGGTGGTGGTATTGTTGTTGGTGGTGGTATTGTTGTTGGTGGTGGTATTGTTGTTGGTGGTGGTATTGTTGTTGGTGGTGGTATTGTTGTTGGTGGTGGTATTGTTGTTGGTGGTGGTGGTGGTGGTGGTATTGTTGGTGGTGGTGGTGGTGGTGGTGGTGGTGGTAGTGTTGGTGGTGGTGGTGGTGGTGGTAGTGTTGGTGGTGGTGGTAGTGTTGGTGGTGGTGGTAGTGTTGGTGGTGGTGGTGGTGGTGGTAGTGTTGGTGGTGGTGGTGGTGGTGGTAGTGTTGGTGGTGGTGGTAGTGTTGGTGTTGGTGGTGGTGGTGGTAGTGTTGGTGGTGGTGGTGGTGGTGGTAGTGTTGGTGTTGGTGGTGGTGGTGGTAGTGTTGGTAGTGTTGGTGGTGGTGGTAGTGTTGGTGGTGGTGGTGATTGTGGTGGTGGTTGGTCGTGGTAGTTAGTATTGACATCTATAAACAGGAGAAACTCACTCGACGGAGCTGCAATTAACACAGTTTTGGGAACTGTGTTAACTGTTTGGGAACAGCTTTCAGTCCAGGACGGACCGAAACGTCGTCGTCCCTTCAACTTCTAGTGTGTGGTCCGGTCAACACAGTTTTGGGAACTTAAACTCAAGCTGCGTTTCTTAACTGGACATATTCATACGACAGTCCAGTTAATTGTGTCCAACAGCTGATGCAACTGTCAGCTGCATGAAGCTGGACAATCATACCTTGAGAGGTTACCTTACCTTGAGAATGATTTCGGGGCTTAGTGTCCCCGCGGCCCGGTCCCCGACCAGCTAGGCCTTTTCATGCCTAATCATGCTGGCCTATTATATCCAGGCAGTCGTGCAGGACACTGGAGAGGCACTGTTGTCTCTAACAGACTCACATACTCACAGACTTAGACTCACATACTCAGACTCACAGACTCACATACTCAGACTTACAGACTCAGAGATTTGCAGACTAACACATTCTCCAGACGTATATTTACATATATACTTACAGACTTTCAGAGACAAAGCCTCACAGACGACTCACAGATCCTCCTCCAGCTCACAAACGTTCTCACAAACGCAAAGAAACATTTTCTAACATATTGGATGGACGTTTCGCCATGTTGGACGCGAACATGAAACTCCATTTACTCCACTTTTACTAAATGGTGTTGAGAAATAAACCAGTAGTCTACCTCTACTGAGTAGAGTTAAAAAGTAAATTAGTAATCTACCTCTACTGAGTAAAGAAGTAAACCAGTTTTCTCCACCTTTACTGAGTATAGTTTAGAAATAAATAACAAAAAAATTATATAATAACTATGTTGCATCATTTGCTTGACAAGATCCTGTAGGTTTGATGGACGGATGACACGGCAACATCCTCCCAAGATTACCAAGGTTCCTTACCTCGCTATCTTGCCCGTCACAAGACATATCCTTCTTCAGCTCTTGGTCTCCTGGTCTATTTGATATCCTCCACTTTTCTGGAGATACTTCATTTATACTTCCGGCAACCCTTGAGATATCTGCTTCTGCCGTTCAAACAAAACACATTTTTGATATCTTTGGCTTCGTCTCGAGATCTTGAAGCCCCTCTGAGGGGGTCACAACTTAATGACTCTCGGCAAGAAACTGGAAAATGGTGAGAGATGAACCACGAGAATGCCCACAGGAGGGAGGAGAGTTATAAAAGGCTGTGGATCACTCTACCTGAAGACGCTCACGGCTCACTTAACCCGTCTTGCGCTAAGACTTAAGATTAAAGTCTTAAAGTAAAGTTCAAGAGCTGAATCTTAAGATACGCGAGACAACGGAAGTAGAGGACACGAGTAAAGGCAATGAATGAATGAATGAATGAATGTTATTCATTCACGAACGTGATTAAATGCAACTTACTTAGATATGCAGGAATGGAACCAAACTCCATCTTCAGGTTTGGCAAGGTCTTTGAGTCACGGGAACTGTTGCGCCGGATAAACCTTATAGCCACGAGACGGGAGCCCAGTAGCTAAACCTCACCTTGTCCCACACACGTCTAGATTAGCACACACGCGTGCGCACGCACACCCACACCTATTTATACCCACACCATCCATTACAATAAAATATGTCGGTGGTCTTTATGCTAAGTCGTGTAAAACGGCCTCTAATCCCGCTCAGGCGAAGCGTAAACCGCTTGTAAATCAAACAGGTTGTAAATCATTCCCGCCAACTGGCAGCCGCTCACCCCTCTCGAGGACGCCAGCGCCCGTCGGCTAATTACAAGGCCCGCAGCGGGCACCCGATCGTAAATACAGAACATACGAATAAAAACAACGAATTGATCGCAAGATGCAGCATCCTTCGTTCCCACTCTCATCTCTCCAATACGGCATCTCTTCCTCCTACTCCTATTCCTCTCTCAGTTCCTCTCCCACATCATATCCCCCCTACCTTCCTCTCTTCCCCTATCCCTTCCCATCTCCCCCTGCCAGGACCTAAATCTTCTGGGTAGGGAAGGAGAGAGGGGGGGGGGGGGGTAGAGAAGTGGATGGGGATAGGAGAGAGGGGGGGAGGGCTAGTGAGGAACAATGGGGCGGGTATACCTGACTGTAAACCAGGTGTTTTTGAGTGTCTATGCAATTGCTTATATGTGGTTTATGGGGGGGGGGAGTGATGGGTGGCTAGGAAGTGTGGCTATGTACTTGGTTCAGGTGTGTACCAGGGTGTCAGTTGTGCCTGAGTCAGCTATGTACCTGGTTCACGTGTGTACCAGGGTGTCAATTGTGCCTGAGTCAGCTGTGTACCTGGTTCAGGTGTGTACCAGGGTGTCAGTTGTGCCTGAGTCAGCTATGTACCTGGTTCACGTGTGTACCAGGGTGTCAGTTGTGCCTGGGTCAGCTATGTACCTGGTTCACGTGTGTACCAGGGTGTCAGTTGTGCCTGAGTCAGCTATGTACCTGGTTCACGTGTGTACCAGGGTGTCAATTGTGCCTGAGTCAGCTATGTACCTGGTTCACGTGTGTACCAGGGTGTCAGTTGTGCCTGAGTCAGCTATGTACCTGGTTCACGTGTGTACCAGGGTGTCAATTGTGCCTGAGTCAGCTATGTACCTGGTTCACGTGTGTACCAGGGTGTCCGTTGTGCCTGAGTCAGCTGTGTACCTGGTTCACGTGTGTACCAGGGTGTCAATTGTGCCTGAGTCAGCTATGTACCTGGTTCACGTGTGTACCAGGGTGTCCGTTGTGCCTGAGTCAGCTGTGTACCTGGTTCACGTGTGTACCAAGGTGTCACTTGTGCCTGAGTCAGCTGCGTACTTAGTAATATGTGTGACTATGTTGACATTACCAATTTCATGGAATAACCAAGGTTCATGGGCACGTGTTCTCCCAAACAAAGGGTTAGGTGATAACACATACAAATGTTCACACCCTGAACACTGGCATAATGACTCCAAGCTGGAACAAAAAGCTTGCATAGGAGGACACATGTTGTTAATACCACACCTGCTACCTGTTGTCCTGCTGGTTCCTGCCATTAATGTTCCCACACAGCCTGCTTACTGACCAGCGCCCATTCGGTTGGTGACCTGATCAACCAGGCTGTTAGACGTATAGCTGCTATAGCAGCCTGAGATATATGGATCACAGTCCGGTTGATCTGGTATATCCTTTACGACTGTTTCTCATGTTCTGTCTTGAACGCCGGCTTGTCTTGAGATGCCCGTCTTCTCCAGCTGTCACAACGGACGGGAAATGATGTGGGAAATTGCCGGAACCTAACCTAACCTACGACCTCAGCATAGAAAACGAGCGTTTGGCAGTATATTTGGGTAGTACAGTCGGGTCCGTTTCGACTCACAATTCAGAATTCTGGGTTGGAATCCCGGGCGGGTCAGAAATGGTTGGGAGAGTTTCCTAGCACCTATAATGCTCCAGTTCACCTAGTAGTAAACAGCTACCCAGTAGTTAGTTAGCTTGTTGTGGGGTTGCATTCGTGAGGGGGGGGGGTCAGTAATTCGACATGGGGGGGGGGGTTGAAATACCTCAATATAAGCCTAACATGTATGTGTACACTGGCTGCCTGTCAGGTTATCTTGAGGTTATCTTGAGATGATTTCGAGGCTTTTTAGTGCCCCCGCGGCCCGGTCCTCAACCAGGCCTCCACCCCCAGGAAGCAGCCCGTGACAGCTGACTAACACCCAGGTACCTATTTTACTGCTAGGTAACAGGGGGCATAGGGTGAAAGAAACTCTACCCCATTGATTCTCGCCGGCGCCTGGGATCGAACCCAGGACCACAGGATCACAAGTCCAGCGTGCTGTCCGCTCGGCCGACCGGCTCCCTGTCCCCCGACACAATGAATTATATTTTGTTCGTTGTAGATTTTGACGTCAAAATGAATTTACCCAATTTTGCAACAACCTGGTGGACCAAACTCTCACAAGTCAAGCCTGGCCTCGGGCCGGGCTTGGGGAGTAGAAGAACTCCCAGAACCCCATCAACCAGGTATCAACCAGGTATCAACCAGGTACCCTAAAGGACAGCTTATTGGTCCCCCCCCCCCCCGTCCCTCATTTTCAGGGGGAAGAATGCTGAAATGTCTACAGCTTAATGTTGATAACGTCCTCTCCCTCAGCGTACCTATTGCACCTTTGAACGGGGCTATTTTGCACTTCCTGCCATGCCTCCTGGTCTCATGTGGCGCTGAAAACAAACGCGTGTGAAGTGGGAAAAATTAACTTCAATAAAACTATATACAGGAGATGCCGAGTTGTTTCAAGAATAATATAACCTGAAGAATTACCTTGAACACAAGCGCCTTCGAGGAGTCAGAAAATGGATGTATTAGACCAATTAGCAGCCTACCTTGAGGTTACCTTGAGGTTACCTTGAGATGGCTTCTGGGCTTAGCGTCCTCGCGGCCCGGTCCTCGACCAGGCCTCCTCGTTGACTAGACTGGCCCTGTCACAGTTAAGTATCCAGAGGAACATGACCTCAATAACTGAACCCTGAGACTGTGTCAATACTCCAGCCAGGTTCCAGACACGAAGATCAACAGCCAAATATAATTTCCATCAAAAAAAGGAACACTCAGAGTAGTTAGTAAATGGAATGCATTAGGCAGTGATGTGGTGGAGGCTGACTCCATACACAGTTTCAAATGTAGATATGATAGAGCCCAGTAGGCTCAGGAACCTGTACACCAGTTGATTGACGGTTGAGAGACGGGACCAAAGAGCCAGAGCTCAACCCCCGCAAGCACAATTAGGTGAGTACAATTAGGTGAGTACTCAAGAAATCATTAAGAGAGGAAGCAGAGAAGCCTTGCATGATAGTTTTGGTTGAAAGGTTGAAAGCACCAAACTACCTCGTTACAGACAGCAATTAGGCCATCTGTTAACCTGTTCTATCAGTTACTCTACTTCCATGTCTCTGGGTGGCGTTTATCGACACTATTTCTCTCTTCCCATCTTATCTCTTTACTTTCCTCTCTCGCTTCTTTATCTCTTCCTACTTTACCTCTCTCTCTCTCTTCTTTATTCCTGCAGTGATTTACCTCTCTGTTCTTCTCCAACAGATCCTCCTCCAGTGTTCTACCAGCGTGTTCTCTCTTCCTCTTGTGTGTGTATATATATATATACATATATATATATATATATATATATATATATATATATATATATATATATATACATATATATATATATATATACATATATATATATATACATATATACATACATATATATATTATATATATATATATATATTTATATATATATATATATATATATATGAGATAACTCTACTCCTCTGGCTACATATTTGCTGAAGAGAAGGCGTTGGAAAGTACAGCACATTTACATATAAACGAATATTGGACAAAGCAATGCGAGAGAGAGAGAGAGATCTCAGAAAATTGTTGACTGACAAAACGCCATATAATCTGTATAGTCATTCTTGGCCATTTGTATTCACAGGTGGATGGAGGTGGTTAAGGGGTGGAATCAGGGGCGGAGGCACGTGCGTTAAAGTGGGCGTTGTCACCGGGATGAATTCAACATGGGGCATTACGCCCACCCGCATTTGGTCTGGAATAGTGTGGATGACTCCAGTGATCACCCGAGTTCCGCGGTGAACGCTGCATGGGCTCTGTCTACGCCCTCACAGGGGCTCTGTCTACGCCCACACAGGGGCTCTGTCTACGCCCTCACAGGGGCTCTGTCTACGCCCTCACAGGGGGCTCTGTCTACGCCCTCACAGGGGGCTCTGTCTACGCCCACACAGGGGCTCTGTCTACGCCCTCACAGGGGCTCTGTCTACGCCCTCACAGGGGCTCTGTCTACGCCCTCACAGGGGCTCTGTCTACGCCCTCACAGGGGCTCTGTCTACGCCCTCACAGGGGCTTTGTCTACGCCCACGCAGGGGCTCTGTCTACGCCCTCACAGGGGCTCTGTCTACGCCCTCACAGGGGCTCTGTCTACGCCCTCACAGGGGCTCTGTCTACGCCCTCACAGGGGCTCTGTCTACGCCCTCACAGGGGCTCTGTCTACGCCCTCACAGGGGCTCTGTCTACGCCCTCACAGGGGCTCTGTCTACGCCCTCACAGGGGCTCTGTCTACGCCCACACAGGGGCTCTGTCTACGCTCACACAGGGGCTCTGTCTACAGCCAAACAGGGGCTCTGTCTACGCCCTCACAGGGCTCTGTCTACGCCCTCACAGGGCTCTGTCTACGCCCACCGTACCCAGCCATACACAACGCCCTCCCACAGACAACTATGACATTTTAACAACACGGGCTGGTACCTTTGGCCGTGTACCTTTCCTATTGAATAAATCAACATGAAACTTTCACCGAATCTGAAACTTCCTCAGGGGAAAAGTGTCAAGCCATTACGACTATGTAGCACTTGGAAAAGGGGTCAGGATAAGGACTTGGGACGG